ACAGTAGAAGTTAAACTCTTGTACTGTACATTAGACTCAGCATATAAACAGTAACTAGCCCTAATATGAGCTCAATAAATACTTGCTGAATGAATGACATGGGGTACCCGGAGCACAGTCGGAGTTCTATGCTACTGTCATTGTCATTCTCGTTATGGGCAATCAGACACAAGAATATAGGTGAAATGTACATAGTATTGTGAGAATTAATGCCTCACTCCCAATCGTTTGTCAATAATTGGTTTGTGGCATCAAACCAATCTTTCTAGTTGGGAAAAATTAATACCCTGGATTAAGTTGAGTGACATTGATAATTTATATCAATTGCTAATAGGTATTATATTAGTAACTAATCATGGACTTTGTTATACAGAAATTTATAAAGCATGAATGAGGTTCATGATAATAAGTCTATCTGCGGGCTAGGGATTGAGCTCAGTGGTTCCACCACCTGCCTTGCAAGTGCAAGGTCCTGAGTTCAATCCCCGGGAACCACAAGAAAAAAAGAGTCACCTCCTTGAACACCTACTATGTGCCAGGAGCAGCCCTGGGACCTGGCAGTTCTCATTTCTAAGTCTTCCAACAAGCCTGCAAGTGGTATATTCACACTACTCCCTGGAGGAGGTGCTGGCTGTAACGAAGTATTTCCCATTGGTGGCCATAACGTGTCTCTAAGTGGCAGTGCTGGGCTGATCCCCAGGGTCCCTGTCCTTACCTGTGAGATAAAGACACCAGTGATTCCATGTTTCTAACAGGCTCTGCTCAGAGTAGTCAGGAACCTGCTGTTCCAGATCAGACTGGGGCAGCTGCCAGAAAATCAACCAAAAAGCCCCACTCAGAGAGACAGAGGATCCCAGAACTGTGGCAGTGCATAGCTTTTGCCAGCCCTGTCAGCCAGCAGACCTACTTCTCTGAGCCACCTGGACAGGACCTCTGTCCATGCAACCACACTCCCTCAAGTGCCCACATGTGGCTTCCACCTTCCTGGTGGCAGTGTCTCTAACTTTCTCAGCTGGCTCAGAGTGGTATGAAGAATGGAAATGGCCTTCACTGGTGAGGACAGGTAGTGGATGGGCAGATACCCCAGCATTTCTATCTTGTACACATATGTGATGCAACCCACAGGGGACTTTCTCAGAAGGGCCCAGTGACCATGCTCACTTCCCAGGGCTGGAGCTCTTGAGGCAGCCTCCCTGATAACCTCCTCCTGTTGACCCTACCTTGGGGAGGGATGCAAAGTGAGATACATGCATACAAAGGTTCAACCAAGGAAAGGCCTCCCAGCTCCCTACCCTCCTCAATGGCTGAGTCAGATGTTTCCACAGTAATCGAATGCTTAAGCTCATAGATGAAAACCATGTAGTAGCTGGTATTATGGAGGAGCGACTGAACAAGAAAGGAAAAGAGGGTAACCCTGGAGGAGGCAGAGCCCCAGGGTCCCTGTGCCCCAAGTTCTCCTGGTGTCCTAATGGCAGCAGGGCTTAGGCCAAAATTCCCTAGGTACAGACTACTCCTGTAGCAACTTTGGGAGAGAGCACAGGCCTCTCACCTGGGTGTGCATCAGAACTGCTGCTCAGAGTAGACTGGTAGAGCCCATGTGAGGCCTGCAAAGGGATTTCCAGGTATGGCTCTGCCCGCCTTCCAGACTCTCCAAAGGTTTAGCTGGGTCTGCCATACGGCTGGGAGAGAAATTCGTCCAGATTTACAAGTGTGCTTCTCCAGAAAGTCTCCCTAGACTCACCCAGGCATGGCAGAACCCACACCCCTGTTTCTAAACAGTGTCCCGCAGTGAATGCCAGTGGTGTCTCACCTTGGGGCTCTGAGTCCCTTGGGACCTGTAATCCCCACACCCCAGCATTTGGCACAGTCTTATGTGAGAAACCAAAGAAAGAGACAGGAGGGTACAAATTATTCCAGCTGTTGTTAAAACTGTAATACCAATACAGGCAGAATACATTTGCATGCAGAGGAGTTTCCAAAAAGCACACATGGAAAAACACTAAGTCCCCGGCTAAGTCTTGCCCCCCTGGAGAGCTCTGGGAAGCTTGTGCTCCAGGCACTTTCAGAAGAAGCGCATTTAGAAGGAGCCCATGAGGTGAAATCCAAAGTCATCTATGCTCAGGGGTGGGTTTGGGTGCGGAGCCAGTAGGCTCTCCTTCCAAATTCTGAGGCTCGACCAGCTTCAGAGAAGCTATGAAAATAGACTCGCTCCTCCTTTCGAGGTAAGAACTGTTTATTTTGCCATGAAAAAGGAAGTCTAGAAATAGCATAATCAAGTAGCCTACTTGTAAAGATCACATCTTCCAATAAGGTCCTTCTGAGAAGCCCATTAGCAACATTTGGCTTTCTTTTCCACATTGCCACCAGGTGTGAAAGTGTGTATCCTACTAGGCCTTAGTGATGTGTCCCCAAGGATGGGTTCTGCACAATTACTTGTTTCTGCTGTTTCCAGAGTAAGGATGTTGCCCTCACCCAGGTAACTCTAACCCCAATGTGATCCCTTCACAAACACAAGGAAGGAAGACATGGCAAACTCTTGCCCACTTAGTAGAGCTCATGCCACCCACTGTTCAAGAGATAACTCCAAAACTTAAGCAAAAGATACTCAGACTCACTCTGTTGGGTACTGCTCGCCACAGTGCCAAAGGGGCGAGTGTCGCAGGGCATTGCCTGGACGTGCAAGGTTGGCGAGGTGCCCCGGGCCTGCCCATCTGCCTCCCTCATCCTCTACTCCACTCCCAGCCAGTGCGATGCCTTGCAGACCCAAGGCCTCTATGAACAGCACCCACCTCAGGTTAGTAATCACAGACTTTTCTTAAAAGAGCACACAGTCCACGCGGCTGGGAGGACAGCGAGGAGGCAGCAGGTGCTGCAGGGCACACACAGGCAGTGGAAGGAGGGTGTGCGCGAAGTCTTAGGAAGGGCGCGGACACACATGAGACTGGAAGGGGGTGGAAGATGGCATGGCGAAAGATTTTACCTTGGAGTCCTGTTCTCTGCGAACATCTATAGCATGCTAGGTCCCAGGAGTTGAGCTTCCCAGGAGTAATCTTGGAAGACGACAGAGGATAGACAGAGGAGCCGCCATGCTGAGTTCTGCCGGCAGGGTCCTTCTTCTGGGGAGGCTGAAACAGGCCATGCACCCAGCAGAACGGATGGGACTTCTTGGCTGGGTCTGGGATTTTCTGGACAGGAGCAGTTCACACTTGCGCGGCCTCAGCCCCTCCTCTTTCCTATCGCCACAGCTTGCTTGCTATTTGCTTACTTTCAAAGCCCCACGCTACAGCCTCTCCGGGCTCTCAGATCAACTCCGCAGGGCCACATCCCTGCTTTATCTCAGGTCCCCCGCAGGAAACAGCAGACGGAGGCAGTAAGCTCACACACAGCCTGAGGATTCTGTGTAATTTGGGGTCCTTCTGTGCCTCCTCCTCAGGACAGTCATCCTTCAAACTTCTCCAGCACTAGCACCAGAGAGGAATGTCACCCAAGTACCAGACCGCACGAAACACCTTCCCTAAAGCGAAGATGTGTCCCTCCACGGGTTTTGTTTGGGGATTGGTTTGTTGTTGTTGCTATTTGCTTGTTGTTCTGTTTTGTTTTCTGGTCCTGCAGATTGAACCCAGGCCCTCGCTCGTGCTGAGCAAGGTCCACACTGAGCTGCATCTCCAGCCCAGTCTATTCTGAGACAAGGGTGTGCTAAGTTGCTCAGGTTGGCCTACAACTCGTGATCTTCCTGCCTCAGCCTCCTGAGCCGCTGGAATCACAGGTGCCCGCCACTGCACCTGGACCTTTCAAAGGTGTTGGGTCTGGTTGTGCCTGCAGACTTTTCACAATGCATCCTGTGGGAGCAGAACCCCAATGTTTGTGTCTGCACAGAGCACCTTTGTATGCAGAGGTCACCCACTCTGAGGCTGTGCTGGGGGGTGTGGGCCTAAGTGCAGGTCCAACAGGGACTTTGGGTACATTAAAATAAAGGAAGCAAAACACGTTAAATAGATTGGATTGTTCCCTCTCTACTGTTTGAAAATGCCACAGGGGCTGGGCTCAAAGTTGCAGTCCTCCTGCCTCAAACTCCCAGAGTGCTGAGATGACAGGCCTTGACCAGGACACCTGGCTAAACATCAACTCTGGACCATGAATTTATTTAGTGAAGAAGAAGGGGAGGAGGAGTTACCACGGTGCTACTTACAATAGCCTTGAGGTGCGTCCATTACTGGTCAGCTAATTATTGCAATAGTTACTTTCTAAATTTCAGTCTTTAGACTTCAGCTTGCTCGCTCAAAGGTAAGCGAGACAGTACTTTGAAGTAAATAAAGAGCATTTTTTGAGGTCATGATTTCGCTGAAGCAATTCCATAGATGCCAAAGCTACATAGCCTCCTGAGCCACAGCAACATAACTATTTCCTAGACTCAGACCTACTCTCCTCAGTAAGAGGGCTTGAAACTGGTATTATTCTAGTGGCATGAACTCTACTAGGCTCTGCAATTCCATAGAAACCGTGCTCAAGCACTAGCCTTAAAAAGTTTAAAATCTAGTTGGTAATGGAGACTATATATAAAAATATTCAAAATTCTGACACCTTAAAAAATGGACCTACTTTCTAAATGACCTACTCCCATGAATATCCCAACTACCAATTTTATTCAGATTCTTCTCTGTGTCTTCTGTGGGAAATACTCTGTGGAAATCTTTATTTTCTTTATGAAAAAGAACACAGTTCAGTTAATTTTTGAAATAATCTCACAGTAGAGGGTTTTTTAATGTAAATGAAACATGCATACTCAGATTACTCCATGTGTCTGCAGCCTAACCCTAAAAGGTACGGGTGTCCTTCACCGTGCCTTTGTGGGGTGACAAGTGTCACACATATGGATGAATATGCCAGTGTTTCCAAACACAATGAGTCCTGGTTCACCTCATGCGCCTCCAACACCGGAAGGTGGAAACATCTAAGCTGTGAGCCTCTGCGATCAGGAAACTGCTTGCAAAAGGGCTTACCTGGTGATTTGCGTCCTTGTACTGAAGTCAAGAGACCTCATTGAGCGCAGAACTTCAATGCACCCCAAGTACTGCAAGGGGAAGAAACGTAGATCATGATGAGCCTGAGAGCTGAGAGGAGAGACAGATCCTAACTACAACAGGGGCATCTAGGGAAAGATAACATTTTAACTCTAAATTCTAGAAGGCTACTTTGCTCTGTTTCTACTAAAGCAATAATTTGCATTCATGAGAAAACAAAATATGCCATATATAAAAACCTAATAACCTCAATGAATGTAAACGTTATATGTCATAAACACAAGGTAAGATTAGTAATATCGACAAGAATGAAAAAGGGGAAAGGGGACTTACTGGAGGAAGAAGGGAGGGGAAGGGGATTAAAAGACTCAGTCTGTATTAGGTACGTGTACCCCGTCCTAAAGATAATTGTAAACTACATGTTGGGCAATCACGTACTAATAATGAAACAGTACATTAAACAAAAGAACAAGAAGAGGAAAATAACTGTGTAGTTGGACTGGCACCACACTTAACTTTTCTAAAACCTCTTGGTTTTGTCATTTTATTTAGATACACATTTTTCAAAGCTTTTGTCAAGGTATATTTTATACAGCAGAAATCTTAAACATTTAACTCAATGTTCTTTAAATGTATATTTATACTGACGCCTTAACCCCAACTCCAATATCATGTTGCTAGTTGTTTACAAAGCTTGCAGAGGTTTATCAATGTCAAGAATAAAAGCAGCACATGACTAACATTAAACAGGATTACTTAATAGATACATTTTGGGGGTCTTCAAATAAACCATAGATAACCTCAGTTTACCACAAAGCCCACTTCTGCATTATTTATCCTAAGTTTTCAGGAGTTTAAGTTTATGCATCTCGGTGTATAGCTAAATTATGATTGGCTTCACACATGTAAGTGAAGATGTGAATGGATGGCTGTAGCTACAGTGAAGGACAATGAACTAGATACAGTATTTAAAGCCCTTGGAGAATTTGAAAGGGTAGGTATGGTAGGCGAGTGCCTTTAAATTTAGATTTAGTGAACAAACCCCATGGTATGGCACAGAAATAACTGCATTTCAGTTGCACACTATTGCACCACCACCAGTGTCCAAGAGTTATTTGAACACCACCATGAGGATTCCATGGCCAGCATCCCAGAGGGGTCTGACTCACTGCCACTGACTCTGCCGTTATATAACTGTAACAACCACACGGCCGCTTCCTGTAAATAACAAGGTCAATAGCACAGGCATGCGACAGTCCCCACTATCAAAATCACAGAATTAAGCAAATACCACATCCATGTTGCAGAGTTGTGTAAAACCCATGGCCCAGAGTTCAGTGATTACCACAGTTGATCACAAAGGGCTGTGTGAATATAACACACAACTTTGTCCTAGAACTGCTACCACCACAGTCATTATACAGTGACATTAATACCATGACCAGCATCACAGAATTGCTAGACTACCACAAAAAACAATGCTGCTGAATCACATGAACATTACTACCCGCCATTGTGGAACTGTGTAAATCATGCCAATGTCACAGAGTTATGTGGAAACTGTAGGCAACAGCACAAGGTTAGGCAGACACCATCACCACTATTACTAGTTGTATGAATAGCTTCCTCTCCATGGGTGTGTATTTACATGAATGGCACAACCAGAGTCTCCGTGTTATGCAATTACCACACCTACCATTGCAATATCATATGGAAACCATGCCAGTGTCACAGAAATACATGAAAACTATCCCACCGAAATGCATACTTATGTGAATAACCACCAACATTACAATGTACTAAGAATACAACTGTTAGCGACGTCACAGATTTATGGGAAGAGAATATCATCAATAACTTATAACTTCTGAGATGTATGTGAATTTCACAACCACTGCTATGGGTCATGAGAATACCTCCACCAGTGTTACAGAGTCATGTGGACACGAATAACACCATGGCAGACTATATGAACATTACTGCCACTATCACTATGATAAGTGAAGACTACAGCCAACATTGCTGAGTTACAGGATTGTCATCTACCTCCATCACAGGATTATGTGACTTCATCACTGTGGTATCACTAAGCGAGCACACCACTGATGTAGTTATTCCACGGAGATATGTGTTAATACCGCGACCAGAACCACAGAGTTATGCACACATTACTGCTGCAGTTTTGTTAATTCCACAACTGTCAATGCAGCAAAGTTATGCAAGTATTTTGACCAAGTTACAGATTTACACAAATATAACCAGCATTACCATGCAATAGCAGTGCCACACCACTACTCCTGCAGAGTTATAGAAATACCATGACCAGGTTGCAGATTTCTATGTCTGATAGCATCATCACCATCACAACGTGCATGAAAAGCACCACAGAGTTTCCACAGTTTTCCATGCTGATACCACAAGAAAATAGAGCAGTGTTATGTGAGCAAATGATGAATTTCACAGAATATACAAATTAACCTCCACCCGTGCTGCAGGGTTGTATAACTATGTGACTATGGTCACGTGACCATTTCAGAGTCACATCTAACACTCTTGTGGCCTTAGCTCAATACCATGAAGAACCTCACAGGGTTAAGTGAATGTCATCAATAGCACTTAAGAATACATCAAAGCAACCACCATAGCTGCAAAGTAACATGTGTACTAATAACACCAGTGCCTCAGAGCTACTTACGTACCATGACTGATGATTCCAACTTATTTCAATACTACCTCCCTCACTCTCACAGTTACGTGAGTACCATGAGTAATGCCACTGAACTATATGACTATGACCACTGCCAACAACATTATAGTGTCACGTAAATAAATACCAGTGCCAATGTCACAGATTTACATAAATACAACTGCCACTGTCACAGTTATGGGAATACAACAACCACTACACAACTAGCTGTGACCAATGTCAGAGTTATAGGAACACCACCATAAGCGTCACGGAAATATTTAAGTATCACCACCTATGTAGTAGTATAGGGTAAATACTGATTTTTGTCACAGTTATGTGACTATCACCAGCAAAACCATCACAGAATTATGTACCACTGACCACAAAACTGTAGAATCATGCATGTCCACTGTCACAGAAGTATGTGGATCCCACAAGCTTGTGTAAAGGATCAAATGTCCAATAAAAAAGTCACCAAGTTATGTGATTAATGTCACCACAATATTGCACAATTATGTCAATGCCACAGGAGTGTTGCCGAGTTATGTGCATACCACAAAAAACTACAGATGATGTCACCAGCATCGTGGTGTTAGGTGAATACGACCAACATCACAGAATCATGTGAACACCACTGCCACCCACATTGTAGACTTACGTAAATACAACTGTCACCACGGTCGCAAAGTGTATGGGCATGATGGACAACAGAGTAATGTGGATACCACGTCCTCCAGTGCCACCGTCTAAAAATTATGTGAATTCTTCCACTAGTGTCCCAAGGTAATTGTTATTTGGACCTGAAATGTTCCCCCACAGGTGCGTGTGTTAAAAGCTTGGTCCACAAAGCAGCAATGGTCGAGGTGGGACGATTAGAAGGTGGCTGAGTCATGAAGGCTATTTATAATTTATAATTTGATGATATTATTGGAAAGTGGTGGAAACTTTAGGACACAGAGCCTGGCTGGGGCCAGTAAGTCACTGGGAGTGTACCCTGCAAGAGTATATCTTGCTCCAGCCTCTTCCTCTGTCTTTCTTGCTTCCTGGCTGGCATGGTGTGAGCAGATTTGCTCTACCAACCTTTCCTCCATGATGTTTCTGCCTTGGAGCCAGTCAGTGATGGAGAGAATCCTGTGAAACTATGAAACAAAATAAACCTTGCTTTCTTTAAGTTGATTTTTTCAACTATTTTGTCAAGACAACAGAAAGCTAATGCAATGATCTGGATACCACTAACAATATTGCAAGATTATTTGGATACCATTTATGTAACACAATTATACGACAGCCACCAATATCATAGCAGTTGTTTTTTTAAACACAAGCCTCAACACAAAATTATGTGAATTTTACTATTACCATCATAGCATTATATGAACATTACCACCAGTTTCATGAAGTTATGCATACAACGACCACAGCATTATCTGAATTCCATCACCAACACTCCAGAGTTCTATGTGGGCTGTTCCCAAAACCATGGCAGATTTATGTGAATTCCACTCACACCAGTTGTTTTAGCCCATTTCCTATTGCTCTAATAAAGTGCCTGGGGCTCAATAAATTGTAAAGAAGAGAAATAGTTATGAAGCTCAGAAGCTTTATTACCCCAGCCTTTTGTAACAGCTCCCTTAGGGAGATCAACACGTGGTAGATGGCATCACTGTGGGAACATGTATGAAAGTCAGGGTTCATGATCTGAGGTCAAATTCCAAATGACCTAATCACCTCCCACTAGGCCTCAACTCTTAAAGGTTTCCCATCTCTTCACGTGTCACAGAGCTCTGGGATAGCTAGGTACACTGCAGTAGGACTATGCAAATCACCGCCAGCACTTCACAGCCAAGTAAATATGACCACAATCAGCATTGCAGTGCTGTGGGCTTGTGTCCTGTACTTCTTTCGGAAGGTTATATTAAGTCACAGTCAGTGTTACAGATTTACCTGACTACTGTGGAGTTATGCGGTTACAACTACTACAGTCCCAGAATTACAGAAATCATACCACCACTTCTACAGCATTATGTATGCCCCAGGACTAACTTTTCAGAGTTACACAATTACCACCAACACATTTGCACAGCGTGTGAGTACCACCACCGTCACAGAGATGAATTGCCCTTCCAAAGGTGGGTAGCAATCTGGCCTCTCATCCTCCATACTGTATATGCAAGAGTTGCAGTCCTCTACCCTCACAACACTGTACAACATCAATCTTTTTGTTAATGGATACATGAGACAATAAAAACTGCACACATCACTTGGGTAACAAGTAATGTTACAGTACGTATACATTGTGTGATGTTTAAATCAGGTTAGGCATAACTATCTCCTCAAACATGTATCATTTCCTTTGGGTGG